TAAAAAATAAAAAATTATAACTAAACACCACATTAGTCATAACCAAAGATCTCATGAGCCATAATTAAAAAAGAAAATTGATCATAATTAAAGAAAAAAATGACATAACTAAAGATGTATATGATACACTTCTTTTAAGAGGTGAGTATAATAAAATTTTGCTTAAAAAAATTCATGTTAGTAGGAAACTAATACACTAAATATAAATTATTTTTGAATAGATACATACACGTGGTGTTATGAACTTACTATTTTTTTATTTTTTTTTTAATTTTAAAAAATGTGGGGTGGTTCGTTGAAGCATCCAATCAAGATATGGATCGATTTTGAGCATATAGAAATTCTAAAAATTAACAAATTTGATACAATTTTCGATTTACTGATTAGAAAAATTGAAAAAAAATTATAATCAATTGTTATATATGTGTTGTTAATGCGTGTTTCATGCACATACTTAAATTATTGTTTTATTTCATGGAGAATGTGTAATTTTATTAAATTTCTTAATATATATTCTATTGCCCTAGGCATATTTTTACAATACATATATATATATATATAGAATTATGCGCAATTTATAATATTTGTCGAGTTAATTATCATAAATGTTATAACTAAATCATTTTTAGTTACAACTTAAAAAAAAAAAAAATCATAACCAAATACTACATAATGTATATCTAAAGAAATTTTGAATCATAACTAAAATAATATCTTAATTACAATGCTTCATTTTTAATACTACAATATATCATAATCAAAAACTATAAACATCATAAGTGGGACATGTTGTCTATCACAAAATTTTCCATATATATATGAATAGAAATAAACTTTCTAAGAGCATCTCTAATAGTGTATCTTTTTTTCACCAAATTTAAGTAAAAACTTCATCTGATATCATGTTCTCCAACGGACTTTCATCAAATCACCGATAGACCGGATGGACGACCGGGCAGTGTAATTTTTTTACAAATTTTTGCAAGGCGGTGGTCATCTGAGTGGACATCTAGCAGGATGTCTGGTCGGTCGTCCAGTAATGCAAACCAACGGTTATGAACAGTAAAATGATGAAAGGTCTCAAGCGTCCTTAATTTGATGAAAGATTTATGATATTCTCGATTTGATACTCATCTGATGAAATCATTGGAGTCGGAAAAGGGCCCTGCTGGAGACCCCCAGCAACCCCCACCTCCACGTGGGGGGCTGGTAATGGCTGAAATAAAAATAAAAATAATAATAATAAAAAAATAGTCTTTGGGCCAATAGGAAGAGACCCCCAGTACCCCTACTGGGGGTCTCATGCATTTTCCGTCGGAAAAATGATGATTTTTCATCAAATTTAAATTTGATGTATATGTTGGTGATGGTCTAAGCCTCGCTTGGGGCTAAATTAGCTAATATTTTTATTCTTTTTTTGCTTAAGGCTAAATTAGTTAATAAAAAGACAAAATAGACTAATTTAGTTAGTAAGACAAAATATCACATTCAAATTGTGGTCATTTCACTTTTTTCCTATAATCTTAATCAACTACAAAAATAAATAAATAAAATAAAATAAAATAAAATAAATTAAAAATTAAAAATTTATTTCAAACAAAATATTTTTAACTAGATTAAAATAGTAAAAAAATCAAAAAGTCCAGCTAAAAACGTTTATCCAAACAGGGCCCAAGTACAAGGGAAAACTCACGTACAAATGTAAAGAGCAATCTTGTAGATCTTTTTAGCGAGGTGAAAATTTTATTTTATGCCAAAGTGTCACTCAAAGATTAATTTTATTCCTATCATTAGTTGTTGTCTAACTTAGATAAAATTTGCTGTATCGAGACTTCATTTTATTCTCAAATTATTTTTAAATATTAATTAGACCTTTAAACATATTAGAAAAATTAAATTTAAATATTTAATTAATATATTTTAATAAAAAAAAGGTAAAAAAATGAATTTTAAATAATTAAATTTACAAAGAAAATATTAAAAAAATCTCTTTTTAAATTGTCGTTTTAAGTTTGAAATTATCCCAAGCGCCTTAGGGATACTAATTGAGCCCAAAATTCCTAATCTACTCTCTCTCTCTCTCTCTCTCTCTCCCTCTCTTAGCAATTGTACCTAGTTATCCTCTAGATTAATTTCAATTGGACTAATCAATTAGTAGTAAGTTAAAATTGTTCAGGTAAAACTCTAGATCACATGTGTTCTAAGAGAAACATCTTCTTCCAAGATTTCAGCAATTACATTGAAAGATGAATATGAATATGAATATTCTGAAATCTCCCCTTACAAAGCTGAGGTTAGTACCTACCCAATCGTTTCATTGATCCAAAGACACTACGATGCTAAAATTAGTAATAATTTCCAAATAGTACTCAAATTTTTAGTTTAAAATTTATTTATTATTTATTTTTAGATGAAAAATTATTATTATATATTTAATTTTAATTTTTCCTAATATATTTAAGGGTCTAATTGATATTTATGGATAGTTTGTGAGAGGTAAAATAAAGTTTCGATGCCACGCCAGTAAATTTTACTTGATTTAGATGGACAACTAATGATAAGAGTAAAATTGATTTAAAATCAAATAATTTAAGTGTAAAATTGATACAATTAAAAAGACAAGGATTACATTAATTTTTGGTGATAGTTTGAGAGGTAAAATAAAAAATTTTCTGGCCACTTTACTTACGAAAAATTATTAGATACTCCAACAATAGTATGCGATATTATTTACACAGTACTCCCAACAAATAAAAAATTGCAACACACTAAATAAATCATCATGTTGTTTCCCAACTACCTAAGAAAAGTGAGACAATATGTTCCACTCATAAAACATTTCGTTACGTGATTGAGCACTACATAAACAATGCTACATGGTACTCAAGACTCCTGAATATTCTCTTTGATATATAATTAACAAAATTAAAGGTCATCATCAGTTATGACTATCTTTTGTGAACACTTTTGCTTATAATCATCATACATTATAAGTCATTATGTCAAGTGGCTTGCCCAAATTTCTTCAAACTCGGTTGGTTCAGTTCCACATCTTGATCAGTTCAATTTTGAGTTCAAGTATTGAGAACTGTTCAAGATTGATTTGATTTTAGACTTGGCTGCAAAATTGAACAAGAAGAGTTGAACTTGTAATATTCTATTGAATTGCAGTTGTAAGCAATGGACTAATCCCATTAGTTAATAAGAATATAATTTTGAGAGTTTGGATAAATTATCTTCATTTCTATTAATGAGGGGATATAAACTTTTAGGGGCAAGGAGGACAATTAATCCTAAGATACACAGGGGAGGTCCACATAATTTCATAAATTATAAGAGAAGATCTAACAATAGAATTCCTATCAATAATAAAGAAAACAATAGTAAAGCCACATTATGTACAAATACAAATGAAAGAAAAATAAATAGAAAAAAATAAAAAAAGATTCAAAAGGTGTCGATGAGCACACTGAACTATCTATGAAAATCTTTTTGACCATAGAAAAAGAACACGTATAAACAAAAAAAATAAGGCAAGTAAGAAAGTCAACAAGTGAAAGAAATAAAGCAAGGTCAACAAGTAAAGATCTGTCATTATCAAAGAGATCAATTTAATTTATCCATTCTTGTTTTTTTCTTCTTTTTTTTATTAACTCGATATTCGACTTATTGGACAGATTAATCTAAGAGACTAATCCCATCATTGACTAATAGGGGAGTTAATTAAAGCCGGGGGACAAAATCTAATATGGACTGACTCGAAAAAATTGTTTGCAGACGTTTTGCACCTGAGATTTTATAGGAAACACACTCATGCTCTGAGCATTGACCACCAAGCCATCTCCTTGGAGTTTATCCATTCTTAAAACATAAAAAATACACACCTCACTAATCTGTACTTTGCTACCACTACCAACATCAAAAAGACCCACCACCCTAACCTACAAGTTGCTACCACTGCCTGTCAGCTACAATTTCCTTTGATCAAAGCATGCGATACAATAAAAATCTCCAAAAGTATAGAATGGATAAAACCTTGAATTCCATAATTATAAAAAGGGTATATCAAATGGTAATGTCAATAACTCGTACGTACAATTCATTGACAATTGCAGTAGTTTCAGAAACTCAATAATTTCCAAGGCTTGAAATCACCAAGACTAAGTAAGAGTTGGCCACGTGAATAAGGCTTGATTTGACATAACTTAAAAAAGTAAAAAAGTCACTATCTTATTTAAGTCACATCATCTTATTTAAGTCACATCACCTTTCTACCATATCACTTCAAACCCAACCCATATTTTGTAAAAAGTCAAAAAATACACTTATTTAATTTATCTCAAACAACTCCTAAAATTCAACCTTTCAACACATGAAGGTATAGAATGGATAAAACCTCGAATTCCATAATTATATAGTGTATATCACGTGGTAATGTCAATAACTTGTACATACAATTCATTGACAATTGCGGTAGTTACAGAAACTCAATAATTTCCGAGGCTTGAAATCACCAAGACTAAGAGTTGGCCGCCTAACTAAAGTTCAAACCTTTCAACACATGCTTTGCCATACAGAACATGGCAATTGTTCAGTCATCTATATAAAAAAAAAATTAAAATTACAAATACCAGTTATAATGAGGCATTTGAAGTGTGAAAAAAAATTCTAAATTCCAGTCACACTGGAGTGTAACTGATTCCAATCAAGTCACAAATTACCAAACAATCAAACAACCCATCAGGTTTTAATAACAGAGTTTAGCACCTAAATCTATTATATATTCAATCCAATTAAAATATGCACAATTGATAGGATTTGCTTAAATGAAAAATTAACACGCTTGAGCTTCACACAAATTAACTTAAACCAAGCTTTAACTGAGGCGGCAGCTAAGTTGGTCTATGATCAATCACAGACAACCCAACGGAGTCAAACTCAAATAATTATACACCAACCCTGAAATGTTGTGACCCAAATAACAGTCAATACTTCAGCCGTGGAGCAAGTATAAGCCGGTGCAAGCCTACATTCAATCAATTGAATTTTAGCCCAGTACAGCACATAGATATAGTCTCATATAGCCACATAAAGTCATCCATGGTCACTACTCATTCCTAGATTGATATCAGAAGCAAAATATAAGAGCTTATCAACAAACTACTGATTGTTATATATCATGGTTACAAAGACAACTAGTAACACAAAAAAGCCACATTGAAGTTGGTACATTCTTCATTCCCACACTAGCAGCTCTATTCTCCTAAAGAAAGCATGCTAGTATGTACTACATTCCACTAATACTAGTACAACCTCACTGTGCTCTGCTTACTGGTTCAAGCGCTTCAACAGTGACCACACTATTTCCTCTGATAACCTGCCGAAGAAGAGTGATATTAATTTCAAAAGCTAAGATAATTAGGACAACAATTATAAAATGCGGATTCATCACCAATCAGGAAAGTAAATTTTTTTAAAAAAAAACCAGCTTAACAGCAGATACCTACCACCATGCCTATATCAGTTTTCTCATTGCCATTCATCTCCACAGTGTTGTCAACCACAAGATTCATAAACTGATCAAAGCCACGGAGTGTCCCAACCACCATCCGATTTGCATTCAACTTGACTGCAATACACAATAACACTTTTAAACAACCACGCGGACTTTTTCCCATCTTGAAATAACAATTTTGGAACCCTAAAGCCTAAAATTTCCAATTTGTTTGGCACTAAGGCTCTCTAAAATTAATATTACAACATTCTATTCACACTTCATGTCCAACATATAAAATATAGAAAAATAATTTCTTAATGTTTTGATTCATTTGTAATGCAAAAAATGATTAACTAAACACTTTTTTCAATGTGTTGTAATATATTTAATTCATATTCTTTGTTGCCAAGTCCCCACCATGCCAGTATGTTCCAAGACCTGATTTTTTAAAGACTGTCATGTTGACATATCCATTTCCTGCCATATCAATATCCCAAGATCCATGTTCCTTAGAGTTTACATCACAGGTTCACATTAAGCCTATGATTGTTCCTTTATATCATGCATAAATTACAAAATACGTTCAAAAGGACAACTGACGACATGCATTGATTGTTGAAATAGTAGATTAACAATATAAATATATCTAAAGATTCTAAAAAATATATAAAAGGAGAAATTTAAAAGCAGAGTGTCTACTCTATAAGCTTTGGTGTAAAAGGGTTCTCCTTCATCATCTTACAATGCCCTTCTTTCACCCCAAAACACACTTAGCACCCCTACACTTTTACTGAAATCTAACGTTAATGAGGTTGATGAAAATTAAAAGTGAAGGGACCAAAGTGATATTTTAGCGCAAGTGCAAAGACTAAGCAAGATTTTGATGAAAATGTAGGGGTGCTAACGAGACCACAAAAAAAAAAAAAAAAATCACATTCACATAACAAGTTATGTTGGTCTTATTAAGAGTAGACAGACAGAAGGATGACATTACAATTTGACACTTCTTTCACCCCAAAATACACCTAGCACCCCTACACTTTTACTGTAATCTACCGTTAATGAGGTTGATGAAAATTAAAAGTGAAGGGACCAAAGTGATATTTTAGCGCAAGTGCAAAGACTAAAGCAAGATTTTGATGAAAATGTAGGGGCACTAACGAGACCACAAAAAAAAAAAAAAATCACATTCACATAACAAGTTATGTTGGTCTTATTAAGAGTAGACAGACAGAAGGATGACATTACAATTTGACATAAAGTATAAGGGGTTGCCTGTCACAATTAAAAGTAACAAGACCAAAGTGAGAGATTACAGTGAAAGTGCAGGATTGCTAAGTGTAATTAAATGTAATGATACACTGCTTTGTTTTGAACTAGATATGGTTTACAACCAAACCTTCCTACTTTCTAAGGGCAATTTAGACAATACCTAAACTATTCCCAACTTCCAAGTTATCAAAATACAAACCATAACTAAACTAAACTAAAACCATGGGATTTGCATATTTTATCAGAAGAATTCTGGTGTTTATGTTTTGTATCGCCATCCTCCATTGACTGTAAAGAATTATCTCCACCAGTTTTCAATCTCTGTTATGCTTATGGTACCATTTGATTGCATCAAGCTAAGCTTGGCAATTCCTAAAGCTCTAATCCACATAGAGTAATCCACATAGAGTTTGTCTTCTGAATTAACCAGTAAGCTAAACACCAAAGTTAACAAATCAAGAATCACAACTTTTCTGAAAACATAATATCCAAACCAGTTTCAAATTGGTAACCAACAATCTAAAAGAATATTATCTTGTATGCATTCAAAATACAAAAACCAAGAGCACAGTAACAGAACCAAACAAATCCATGAAATCAAATGCAGGATACAAAAAATCTGACTTAAAATGTTTTGTTTTTTCACTTTGCGAAACAAAAGAAAACCCTTGTCTCAACTAATTTAAATACCAAAATTTGGGGTATCTTCTGTACTAATTCTTGTGATAAATCAGCAACCAAACAAGTAAAAAAAATCAAAGAGATTGAATGTCAAGAAGGGAAGTTACTCTGTAGCTTCTTGTCCATGTATCTGTCAAAAACAAAAACAAATTTAGTAACGACGAAAGAGTGAATCAAGGAAACCACTTAACGACTGACTCTGAGAGAGAGAGAGGAGTAAAGAGAGGACTTACTTCTTGAGATCTGGAGGCTGACCTGACCTGCTCATGGTGAAACCTAGAGAGAGGAGAGAGGAGAGAGGAGAGAGCGAGCTCGAGCGGGAGACAGAAAAGCTGTATTTTGGAATCCAAACCCTAGAAAACGTGGGTGAGTTCACTCTGGAAGGGGGTGAACCAGGCCTCTTCAAAAGCCCAACAAGAAGGCCGGCCCCAAACAATTCTAAAATTGAGTATTACACTCACTGAAATAAAAAATAAAAAAAATTAGTCTTACATTTTTATTTTTATTTTAATATACAAATATAAAATATTTTTTTTAAAAAAATTAATTCACATAACAATTAAGCCTTTTTCATTGATAATCCGTTAATCACATGTATGAAAAAATAATGTAGCCATCTACTTTTTACTAAAATATATATGTATCTTTGTTTATTTCAGTATTTACCCACCATCTGTATTAGTTTTGATTATTTCATACTTATTAAAAGAGAGATAAATATAATTATGTCAAAAGTATAGGGCTAATTGTATTTATTTCAAGCTTCAGGGGAGGTGTGCATAATAGTTAGGTCCATTTTTCATCAACAATTGGTAAGTTGTATAATATAAAAATAATGTTGTTATTTTTTTTACTAAAATGTATGCTATCTTTGTTTATTTTATTGTTTACCCACCATATGCATTAGTTTCCTTTCTTTTAGCCTTATTAAAAAGGATATCGATGTAATTAAGTAAAAAGTGTCAGGCTAGGTATTAGTTATCTTAGAAACAACACACACTACAAAAAAATTTGACTTTTTGCGACGGCAAAATGCAGTCACAAATACTCAAAATGCCGTCTCGAAAGGTTTTTTGTGACGGTAGATGACTTTTAGCGACAGCAAGTGAGGGGTCGCAACAAAGGGGGTTGCAAAAAGGTTTTAGCGATGGCACGTTGCCGTCGCCTTTTTTTTTTGCGACGGCAAAGTTGTCTTTTTTGCGACAAAATTTTGCTGTCGCCATTAATATGAAAAAATCTGAGATTTTTTGAGACGACACTATGCTACCGTCGCTAAAGGTGTTATTTGCGACGACAAAAATGTCGTTGCTAAAGAATTTTTATTGCGACGGGATACCTACCGTCGCTAAAAAAATATTTGAGACAGCATGATATGCCGTCGCTAAAAGATTATTTACGACGGCAAAGATACCATCGCAAAAGGTTTTTGTCTCAACTCTGTCAATATCATTTGCGACGGCAATGTGGGGTCGTCTCAAAAAAAAAAAAACTGTAATAAAATTATTAAAAATATGAAAATTACCTGCATTAAATGAAAAATAATTGAAAAAGAAACCAATAATTAAATAATAATATAAAAATTCCAATATAAAAATAACAATTCATCTATAATAAAAATATTCTTGCATTCATTCATTACAACACATTAGTAAAATTATCCCACCACATAATATTGCATAATACATATACAATGTTTAAATACATAATGTTGTTCACAATTCAAAATAACCTAAATCAAAAACAAAAATTTCTCTCATGATTCTTCCGTGGGTAACAAAAATAAAAGTAAATTGCAATCTTCACACGCCTGTATTCCACAATAAGCAAATTGCTACTCAGGAAATATCTGAAAACAAAAAATGAAAATAATTAATGTCAATATAATTATGTGTTAATATTTTAATTACAAAAAAAACATAAAAAATTAACTATTATATAATTACAAAGATAATTAAGTAAATAATTTTGGTTAGACGGAAATCCGGCTTTAACTCCCAAATTGGGAACCCGATTGGAGTCCCGTCTTTTCTCACAAGTCTCACGTGCTTAGGTGGTCATGTGTGCAAGTTTCTTGCTAAACCGACACCGTTTGGAGATTTTGGGGCGTCAATACCTCAAATTCAAATTTCTTAATAAACTAGTTTGCCTAAACCGAAATCCGGCTCTAACTTCCAAACCGGGAACCCGATTGGAGTCCCGTCTTCTCCCAAAAGTCTCTCGTGCCTAAACGGTCGTGTGCGCCAAGTTTCGTGCTAAACCGACGCTGTTTGGAGATTTTGGGGCGTCAACACCTCCAATTCAAATTTCTTAATAAACTAGTTTGCCTAGACCGAAATCCGGCTCTAACTCCCAAACCGGGAACCTGATTGGAGTCTCGTCTTCTCCCACAACTCTCTCATGCCTAGACGGTCGTGTGTGCCAAGTTCCGTGCTAATCCGAAGCCGTTTGGAGATTTTGGGGAGTCAACACCTCCAATTCAAATTTATTAATGAATTAATTTGCCTAGAGTGAAATCCGGCTCTAACTCCCAAACCGGGAACCTGATTGGAGTCTCGTCTTCTCTCATAAGTCTCACGTGCCTAGACGGTCGTGTGTACCAAGTTTTGTGCTAAACTGACGCCGTTTGGTGATTTTGGAGCGTCATCATCTCGAATTTAAGTTTCTTAAGGAACTAGTTTGCTTAGAGTGAAATCCGGCTCTAACTCCCAAACCGGGAACCCGATTCGAGTCTCATCTTCTCCCACAAGTCTCTCGTGCCTAGGCGGTCGTGTGTGCCAAGTTTCATGCTAAACCGACGCTGTTTGGTGATTTTGGGGCGTCAACACCTCCAATTCAAGTTTCTTAAGGAACTAGTTTGCCTATAGTGAAATCCGGTTCTAACTCCCAAATCGGGAACCCGATTGGAGTCCCGTCTTCTTCCACAAGTCTCTCGTGCCTAGGCGGTCGTGTGTGCCAAGTTTCGTGCTAAATTGACGCTGTTTGGTGATTTTGGGGCATCAACATCTCAAATTCAAGTTTCTTAAGAAACTAGTTTGCCTAGAGTGAAATCTGACTCTAACTCCCAAACCGGGAGCCCGATTCGAGTCTTGTCTTCTCCTACAAGTCTCTCGTGCCTAGGTGGTCATGTATGCCAAGTTTCGTGTTAAACCGACGTCGTTTGGTGATTTTGGGGCGTCAACACCTCCAATTCAAGTTTCTTAAGGAACTAGTTTGCTTATAGTGAAATCCAGCTCTAACTCCTAAACCGGGAACCCGATTAGAGTCCCATCTTCTCCCACAAATCTGTTGTGCCTAGACGGTCGTGTGTGTCAAGTTTTGTGCTAAACCGACGCCGTTTGATGATTTTTGGGCGTCAACACCTCCAATTCAAATTTCTTAAGAAACTAGTTTGCCTAGACCAAAATTCAACTCTAACTCCCAAACCGGGAACCTGATTGGAGTCCCGTCATCTCTCATAAGTCTCTCGTGCCTAGGTGGTCGTATGTACCAAGTTTCATGCTAATCCGACACCATTTGGTGATTTTGGAGCGTCAACACCTCGAATTCAAGTTTCTTAAGGAACTAATTTGCCTATAGTGAAATCCGACTCTAACTCCCAAACTGGGAAGCCGATTGGAGTCCCATCTTCTCCCACAAGTCTCTCGTGCCTAGACGGTCATGTGTGCTAAGTTTCATGCTAAACCGACACCGTTTGGTGATTTTGGGGCATCAACACCTCTAATTCAAATTTCTTAAAAAACTAGTTTGCCTAGACCGAAATTCGGCTCTAACTCCCAAACCGGGAACCCGATTGGAGTCTCGTCTTCTCCCACAAGTCCCTCGTGCCTAGGTGGTCGTGTGTGCCAAGTTTCATGCTAATCCGACGCCATTTGGTGATTTTGGGGCGTCAACACCTCAAATTCTAAGTTTCTCAAGGAACTAGTTTGTCTAGGGTGAAATCCGGCTCTAACTCCCAAATCGGGAATCCGATTTGAGTCCCGTCTTCTCCCACAAGTCTCTCGTGCCTAGGCAGTTGTGTGTGCCAAGTTTCATGCTAGTCTGATGCCATTTGGTGATTTTAGGGCTTTAACCCCTCAAATTTTAAGTTTCTTGAGGAACTAGTTTGCCGAGACCGAAATCTAGCTCTAGCTCTCACACCGAGAACCCGATTTAAGACCCGTTTTCTCCCACAAGTCTCTCATGCCTAGGCGGTCGTGTGTGCAAATTTTCACGCTAATCCGACGCTGTTTGATGATTTTAGAGTGTCAACACCTCAAATTCTAAGTTTCTTAAGGAATTGGACCAAAATTCGGCTCTAACTCCCAAACCGGGAACTCGATTCGAGTCCCGTTTTCTCCCACAAGTCTCTCGTGAGGTGAATCGATGGTGAGCACTTATCGTAAAGGATTGATCGATGATATTGTTGAGAGAGATATAGGAAAGAAGAGAGAGAGAGAGAGAGAGAACGAAAAGAGATAAACGAGAGAGAGACAAAGAGAGATGAGAAAGAGAGCGAGAGAGATAAAGAGAAGAGAGACAGAGAGAGAAGAGACATGGGTGAGAGACACAGAGAGAAAGAGAGAGAGAAACAGATAGATAGACAGACAGAGAAGAGTGATGAGTGAGAGAAAGAAAGAGAAGAAAGATAGAGACAGAGACACAGTGAGAAAGAGAGAGAGAGACAGACAGAGAAGAGTGATGAGTGAGACAGAGAAAGAAAAGAGAGACAGAGACACAGAGAAAGAGAGAGAGATAGACAGACAGACAGAGAAGAGTGATGAGTGAGAGAGAGAAAGAGAAAAGAGATAGAGACAGAGATAGAAAGATGAAAAAATGGGTGAAAAGAGAAATGTTCAAAAGAGTAAGACGACGTCATTTTTTTTTTCTTCTTTGTGACAGAAAAATACCGTTGCATTTATTTAAACCATTTTGTGACTATATATATATATATATGAAGTCGTCTCAAAGCCACAATATATATATCTATATATATATATATATATTTTTACTTTTTTTTGGCAACGGTACCTATTACAATCGCAATTTTTTTTTTCTTCTTTTTTTTTGGCGACTGTAACTGGTGCTGTCGCAAAAACTCTATTTTTTTTTTTGCGACAGCAATTTCTTCTGTCGCAAATGCTTTCATTTTTCAAGACGGCAAGTTGTGCCGTCTCAAAAAGTCACATTTTTGCGACAGGAAGTTGTGCCGTCTAAAAAAGTCACATTTTTTGCGACAGCAAGTTGTACCGTCGCAAAAAGTCACACGAGTCATGAGTTTCGTAAAATTTCTAAAACTATTTGGGTGGCAACTCTGAAATTTGGCAATGCAGTCCATTTTTGGCATTTCTGATTGTAAATCGATTTTCTAAAAATTTGCCAGATTTGGACTTTGATTTGTATTTTTCTGTTTCACATTGTACTTATGAAACCAGATTCAGAACCA